CTAGTGTCATTAATCCACCTTATAATGGAGATGAACAAAAGCAGACATGTCTGAAGTCCAGCCTGTGTGACAACCTTAGCTGCGTCCATAGACACAGTGAAGAAATGAGTGTAGACACAAAGAACAGGAAATGTGTTATTTGCAAGAGGTGAAAATAAGGGGGGGGGGGGGGGGGAAGCCTGAAAAAAAGAAAACTAATGCAGCCACATCATTTAAGGACTGGTAAGAGGTATATAACCTTTTTAGGTTTAGGTACGCTTTACTGACAGGTTCTTTTTAAATGAATTCCCACCCCCACCACCCTGAGCACAGCACATGAAAGGTTTTGTTCTGTGTGCAGCCAAGTCGTGTGATCTGTTTCCAGCACTTGTTCAGCGCTGTATATCCAGCCTATCAGATTTAGATTATTCGGTGTGAAAGCCGCATTCATTAGAAGGTTTGTGAAAAGATTTTTCATCAGAAGTGATATAATCACAACATGTGTGTGGGAGCCGTTCACCTCTGTGAGCACCATCTGCTTGTAGAATAATAGTACCGGGTGGTCTACCGTGATTACTCTGCATGTCCAAGAATAATATTTCTGTTACTATGGAACCATTATATTGTGAACATCTTCTATGAGGATTCAGTGTCCGATTCAACAACAGCTTTCATTCTAAGGCCCCGTTCACACTTCACGATGAGTGAATGCATGCATGCATACGTGTGCGGTTTTGCCGCTGTTGCTGCGCATTAGCCCATTCAAATAATGGGCTTCCACATGTCCGAGAAATGCAGCAGTAGCAATGTAGCTCATGCAGCATTTTCAGGCCCTGTTTACACTTTGCGATGCCTGGACATGAGTTCACATGAGTGTGGTTTTGCCACCATCACCATGCATCACCCCGTTCATTTTAATGCGCGACAAGCAGAGCTGCGAGCCTCACACATTTTTTTTAACAGGCTTTTGTGTGTGTTTGACGCGTGTCCATGACTTACTGTCAGAGCGGGGAGGATGGCCGCGGCCGTGTTCGTCACCCGATGTGGAGTTCGTAAATGGAAGCAAAATTTTGACGAACTTTCTGTTCGCGAACCGAAGTGTTCGTGAACTGAGGTATTGCTGTGTTTATTTTCTCTGTGTATTCAGCAGTTTGCCTAAGGCTCAGCTTTAAACACAAAATACACTATAGTTCACTTACATACTATTATGTAGGGGGTCTAAGCACACGGGTGATTTTTGCTTCAGCACCCAAAACCTATGACCACCCATGATTCCTCAATAATATTGCTGCACGTATGGAGTGTAGCATGGAATTGTGTGATCTATCGCTACTACGTACAACTGCATGTGTAGCCATCCCTAGTGATTAATGCCCAATGATCGCTATCAACCCCTAGGGCCATGTCACACTAGAGACAACTCTCCACCCACAGGATCATTATACTGGTCTATACAGGGTAGAGAAATACCTGTTTTCATGTGTCGCTCCCTCGCTGGCTGCATGAGCGAAATGTTGCTCACTGGTGACTTATATTGTGCAGCTTTTTCATCTCACAAGGAGGGACACCTTGCTCATCCAGCCATCAAGGCAGTGACACATAAAAGCAGGTGAATTGTTTGCATTTTTTTAGCGATCTTATCACTATGACGTTGCCCTTGTGGTGCTTTTGGTCAGAAGCAGAAAGCAGGACAAGTCCTCTAACTCTACAGGAACCAGCCCTAGGCACAGGAGGCATGCTACGTCTTGTGACTGGCAAAGCAGAGAAAGTGGCAGAGAAATGACCAGCAGGTAGTGGCGTCACAAGGGGGGTGCGGCCTGTAGCGGGTGACACCATCGGAGGGGGTGACACCAAAATGACTGACAGTCATTTTGGTGTCACCCCCCTCTGAAAAGTCAGGCACTTGGTCATGGCCTGGGGACGCCTGCCAGCAGGGAGATCTAAAAGATCTGCAGTGCTGAGCCTTTTGTTCTGTGAAAATCTGACTCCAGGCACCCTCATTTCTCTCACCATAGATGTGTTATTATGGGGTGCACCTATAAAACATTTGCACAGCTGTTCGTCCTGCGAAAATCTGACTTACATGTGCACCTCATTGTGGCCACTAGATGGAGCTGAGGAGCATAGGAAATTCCTGTGCTCATAGAAAAATTCCTATGCTCCTCACCTCCATCTAGTGGCCATGATGCGGTGCAAAGGTAAAAGTCAGATTTTCGCAGGACGAACGTCTCTGCGAACATTTTATGAATACACCCCGAATAACAGAACTATATTGAGGGAAATAAGTGTGCTTGTTTTTTTTTAACTTTAATTAACTTGACATTAAAGAAGAACTCCAGGCCGATAAAATGTTAACCCTTGTAGCTGGGCTACCCCCACACTGCAAAGGTTAGGTGCTCATTTTTTTCTAGGGAGCAAAAGGAACAGAGACATACTCACACAAACCATGATTGCGGCTGGCTCTTGGACTAGTCTCTCCTCCCCTCCGCGCCGGCGGTCTAAGGCCCTATACAGGGTACTGGACATGAGGGACATTCCATCACTGGAAAGGAGGATGAGAGAGGCTGGAGGGAGTGGTGTAGGAGCCAGCTGGGATTGTGGTTTGGGGGAGTATATCTCTGTTATTTTAGCTCCCTAAACAAAAGGAGCACTTAGGCCTTGCAGTCTTGAGGTATGCTCCTTCTCCTTCCTATGCTCCTAATGGCGGGAAAGCTGTGCAAACGGCATGTACCCAGCATATGACCGGATGGAAGTTTTATAAATCAGCCCCTTTTAGGGCCTATTCACACCAATTGCAGTGCGTTCCAGGGCGGTAGCTGCTGGAACGCACAGCATTCGCTCACTAAACTTCCCTCTTCGTTCTGGGGCAGTAGGGGACGTGGTGGTGCATTGAAGTCAATGGATGGAAGTTTTATAAATCAGTCCCTTTTAGGGCCCATTCAAACCAATTGCGGTGCGTTCCAGAGCGGTAGCACACTAAACTTCCCCCTTCGTTCAGAAGCGGGGCCTTGAAGTCAATGGCCACGCCTCCGCCTACAGTCCAATAGGACGCTTGGCAAAACATTGTCTGCGTTCCGTTCCACTGTGAACGCAAAAAAATGCTGCATGCTCTATTTTTTTGCATTCACAGTGAACCCAGGCAAAGTTTTGCCACACGTCCGATCACACGTGGCTGCGGTGCCATTGACCTCAATGCACCGTCACGCCCCCTCCCGCCCCAGAACGAAGGGGGATGTTTAGTGAGCGATTGAAATGCGTTCCAGCAGCTACTGCTCTGGAACACATCGCAATTGGTGTGAACAAGCCCTTAAAGGAATTCTATAGTCCTAGCATATCCTCTCCTGTTATAACATCAGCATTGTAATAGGAATACATAGTAGAGTTGTTTCTGATATTGCATATCAAAGCTTACATGTAAAAATCCCTTTTATGGAGTGAGCGCTGCCTTCTGTCTGCCCATCACTTTCACCAACTTCCTGGATTCCCAGTGTGCTTTGCGTCTCTTTCCCTGCTGCTTGATGCAATCTCCATTCCTCAAGACTACATACCCCATCATGCATTGCTTCCAGCAAGCAATGATAATGTTATGGATGTACTTATAAGCAGTGGGATAGAACTTATGGAAATTCAATATAGAAATACAGATTTATTTTTTGACCATCGATAACGGCTGCATTCACACCAGATGCGTTGGGGCTGCGCTGGCCATTTTTCCCCATGCATCCCCAACGCTAGACAAGGCAATTTGCCTTGTTTCAAATGGGCCTAGTGTACACCCCCATGTTGCAGTGGCGTGTGCGGGAATGAAAAAAGATCTGCATTCATGTAGTACTTTTTAGCTGGCCCTGTCCTGGAACAACCAAAGTGCCCATAGAACATAATGAAATGTCACTTGTGACATTTTAATAAAGTTCTAAGAAAAAAAAGGTAAACAATGCAATGCACTGACATTGACGCACAAGCATTGTGACTGGCAATGCACGCCAGCAGCTGTAGGTGTGAATTGGTCCTTTAGCCTGCAGTCATACGTGCACGTTCCAGGAATGCGTGCCACATGTGCACAAACCAACACCTTGGCGTGCATTGACAGAAACGCTGCAAAACTTGTTTGTGTTGCCATTGATTGCTAATGGCACCCCAAACGCGGCCAGGAAGACTCGAGTTCATCCTCAGCATTTGCATGCATTAAAATGCGCACAAATGCGGAAGCCAAAAACGCGGAACGCATGTCGCTAGATTTGCTACATGAATGTTTTTGCTGCATTTGCCATGCATTCAGGCCCTATTGAACTCAATGGGGATGCATGACAACACACACAAACGTGCACAAGCCTGCATGAATGTTACGCATGTTCCTGGAACGGGCAGGAGTGAATGTGGGCTAAGTGTTATAAACTCTGTGAGTGGAATTTATCAAAACTGGAGCAGACAAAATCTGGAGCAGCTGTGCACGACAACCAATCAGCTTCTCACTTTCATTTTAAAATCTTAACTGAAGAGAGAAGCTGATTGGTTGCCCTAAGCAACGGCTCCAGATTTTGTCTTCTCCAGTTTTGATGAGTTCCCCTCAATGTGAAAAAAATCACCTTCAAAATGTGTGTAATTAACTAATAACTAAATCCCCTGCCAAAGACAAAATGATAAAAGCCAGACTGAGGGGAACGAATTAAAGATATCTCAGACAAACTTTGTCTCAGCCGGGGCTCAGCCAATCAGTGCTTTCTTAACTGTGTGGGAAAATGAAAGCTAGAAGCTGATTGGTTGCTAAGGGCCACTGCACCAAATGAGCTAGGACTTGCCCTTAGCAGCGGCCTATCGGAGACTTGTAATTAATGATTGTGGTTGCTAAGGGCAGCGGCTTGCAGTCAGTTGAGTATATTCCATTAATGCGGGCGGTGGGTTTAGCTGTGTGCTGGTGTCAGAGCATCCTCCAGTGACAGCTCCCTCCTCCCCGATCCCCCCGGAGATTCCTCCACTGCCACCATCATCACCGTCTCCTCCCCCCGGCCTCTCCTCCCGCCTGCCTCCCTCCCTCTCCTGGCCTCTCCCGGTCCCCTCCTCCCGCCTGTCCCCGGGCAGGACTCGGAAGATGGCGGCGGATGATCGTGGCCGCTCGGACTCGGCTAAAGAGAAGAGAAAGGAGCAGCTGAGCCGATGGCTAGGCTCGGAGACGGAGCGATGTCTTCCCCGTGGCACCTCTCGCCGGGCCCCCCGGGTCCGCTTCGCCCAAGGAGCCGTCTTTATGGCCGCCTGTTCGTCTGGAGACCAGGAGGAGGTTCGGGAGCTGCTGGCGGCCGGAGCCCCGATCAATGGCACCAATGTGGACGGGCTGACAGCTCTGCACCAGGTACGGTCCCTGCTGGCATCCTCCAGCCTGGGGGTACGCACATCTGCTGGGAGGACACATGTTGCCGCTTGACTTATTCATTGGGTCAGTGGTAGGTCTGTGTATCCTGCACAAGCGATCGGATCGGGACACGATGGTGGTGACAGTGCTAGAGACCGGCCAGATTAGAACTTATTTGAGGTCCTGGTCCATGTTGGGGGGGGGGGATTGATTGGGCAGGGGGCTCCTTGGTTCAAAGCGGTCAGATCCTGACATGTATGGGAAGCTTTAGGCTTTATGCTTGGGGGACTACAAGAATCAGAATGTCTTGTAACCCCTTGTTGCTCCATCGAGGCACTAAAGCCGGCCTTACACTGCTCACAATTCCATCCATGGTCGGCCCAGTCGGCACCACTCCGTCCGATCTTTCCTTGTGGAAGGAGTCGGGTCGAAGATTGTTGGCCAAACAGTGACTGCGGCCAATCATCTGTGGTCATTGTTGGGGGCATTCTGACAGCCTGGGGCCCAGCAGGGAAGATTCCCCCCCCGCCAGACTGAGAGGTAGATGGGGAACAAGAGGGCTCATTCCCACTTCCAGTCTTCAGTAGCCACAGATTGCCCTTTTCTGTAATGGTGGCCACACACCTATGATGTGATTGTTGGAGGCAGATTAAGTGATTGAGCCGAATAATAATCACACACCAAAGACCTTTCCTCATATAAAAGACTCGTCCCCGCTGCTTCAGTCATCTCCAGCCCCTGGAACTATTCTCTGTGTGTACTAGTGAACCCATCACAGGACAAACCCTAGACCGGGGCTGGACAAATCCAAGGAGCCAGGTCGCCAATTCTCAAAATTTACAACCGGCGCCGAACTTTTGAGGTTTTCTGTAGTAAATGTCAATGGAGCCGGATCCTGGATTGGACAGACTGGCTCCTGGATTAGACAGACTGGCTCCTGGATCCCGTATTGATTTGTCCACCCCCCCGGCTTAGATGTCATTGTCCCCGGGATGATCACCTGATGGAGCTGTCAATGTGGTTCCATGCTGGTGAAGACTTTCCAGCAGATGAACCCGTTGGTTGCCCGTTGTGTTCCCCCATATTGATTGATCTCTAGCAGTGTTCCCCCCCTATTGATTGAGCTCTAGCAGTGTCCCCCCGCATTGATTCATTGCTAGCGGAGTCCCCCCGCATTGATTCATTGCTAGCGGAGTCCCCCCGCATTGATTCATTGCTAGCGGAGTCCCCCCGCATTGATTCATTGCTAGCGGAGTCCCCCCGCATTGATTCATTGCTAGCGGAGTCCCCCCGCATTGATTCATTGCTAGCGGAGTCCCCCCGCATTGATTCATTGCTAGCGGAGTCCCCCCGCATTGATTCATTGCTAGCGGAGTCCCCCCGCATTGATTCATTGCTAGCGGAGTCCCCCCGCATTGATTCATTGCTAGCGGAGTCCCCCCGCATTGATTCATTGCTAGCGGAGTCCCCCCGCATTGATTCATTGCTAGCGGAGTCCCCCCGCATTGATTCATTGCTAGCGGAGTCCCCCCGCATTGATTCATTGCTAGCGGAGTCCCCCCGCATTGATTCATTGCTAGCGGAGTCCCCCCGCATTGATTCATTGCTAGCGGAGTCCCCCCGCATTGATTCATTGCTAGCGGAGTCCCCCCGCATTGATTCATTGCTAGCGGAGTCCCCCCGCATTGATTCATTGCTAGCGGAGTCCCCCCGCATTGATTCATTGCTAGCGGAGTCCCCCCGCATTGATTCATTGCTAGCGGAGTCCCCCCGCATTGATTCATTGCTAGCGGAGTCCCCCCGCATTGATTCATTGCTAGCGGAGTCCCCCCGCATTGATTCATTGCTAGCGGAGTCCCCCCGCATTGATTCATTGCTAGCGGAGTCCCCCCGCATTGATTCATTGCTAGCGGAGTCCCCCCGCATTGATTCATTGCTAGCGGAGTCCCCCCGCATTGATTCATTGCTAGCGGAGTCCCCCCGCATTGATTCATTGCTAGCGGAGTCCCCCCGCATTGATTCATTGCTAGCGGAGTCCCCCCGCATTGATTCATTGCTAGCGGAGTCCCCCCGCATTGATTCATTGCTAGCGGAGTCCCCCCGCATTGATTCATTGCTAGCGGAGTCCCCCCGCATTGATTCATTGCTAGCGGAGTCCCCCCGCATTGATTCATTGCTAGCGGAGTCCCCCCGCATTGATTCATTGCTAGCGGAGTCCCCCCGCATTGATTCATTGCTAGCGGAGTCCCCCCGCATTGATTCATTGCTAGCGGAGTCCCCCCGCATTGATTCATTGCTAGCGGAGTCCCCCCGCATTGATTCATTGCTAGCGGAGTCCCCCCGCATTGATTCATTGCTAGCGGAGTCCCCCCGCATTGATTCATTGCTAGCGGAGTCCCCCCGCATTGATTCATTGCTAGCGGAGTCCCCCCGCATTGATTCATTGCTAGCGGAGTCCCCCCGCATTGATTCATTGCTAGCGGAGTCCCCCCGCATTGATTCATTGCTAGCGGAGTCCCCCCGCATTGATTCATTGCTAGCGGAGTCCCCCCGCATTGATTCATTGCTAGCGGAGTCCCCCCGCATTGATTCATTGCTAGCGGAGTCCCCCCGCATTGATTCATTGCTAGCGGAGTCCCCCCGCATTGATTCATTGCTAGCGGAGTCCCCCCGCATTGATTCATTGCTAGCGGAGTCCCCCCGCATTGATTCATTGCTAGCGGAGTCCCCCCGCATTGATTCATTGCTAGCGGAGTCCCCCCGCATTGATTCATTGCTAGCGGAGTCCCCCCGCATTGATTCATTGCTAGCGGAGTCCCCCCGCATTGATTCATTGCTAGCGGAGTCCCCCCGCATTGATTCATTGCTAGCGGAGTCCCCCCGCATTGATTCATTGCTAGCGGAGTCCCCCCGCATTGATTCATTGCTAGCGGAGTCCCCCCGCATTGATTCATTGCTAGCGGAGTCCCCCCGCATTGATTCATTGCTAGCGGAGTCCCCCCGCATTGATTCATTGCTAGCGGAGTCCCCCCGCATTGATTCATTGCTAGCGGAGTCCCCCCGCATTGATTCATTGCTAGCGGAGTCCCCCCGCATTGATTCATTGCTAGCGGAGTCCCCCCGCATTGATTCATTGCTAGCGGAGTCCCCCCGCATTGATTCATTGCTAGCGGAGTCCCCCCGCATTGATTCATTGCTAGCGGAGTCCCCCCGCATTGATTCATTGCTAGCGGAGTCCCCCCGCATTGATTCATTGCTAGCGGAGTCCCCCCGCATTGATTCATTGCTAGCGGAGTCCCCCCGCATTGATTCATTGCTAGCGGAGTCCCCCCGCATTGATTCATTGCTAGCGGAGTCCCCCCGCATTGATTCATTGCTAGCGGAGTCCCCCCGCATTGATTCATTGCTAGCGGAGTCCCCCCGCATTGATTCATCGCTAGCGGTGTCCCCCCGCATTGATTCATCTCTAGCGGTGTCCCCCCGCATTGATTCATCGCTAGCAGTGTTCTAGGAGCATATATTTGTGTATGACCAGTCTGGGATTGTCCCCCTTTCTGTATCCTCCACACCCCATATATTTTAATAAGTAACAAAGCACCAGAGTCTTGCACTGGCTGTCATGAGCATTGTCCTAGTGCTAGGCCCCCATAACGGCCACTTATATCCATATCGGGTAGCGTTCAGCTCCTGCTGCTGTCGGCACCACATCACACGCTCGCACATCAAATCATTTCTAGGAGAACTTGTCATCCTTTCGTAGTCAGCTGCCAGTAGAGACCACACACTTGTGTCAGCCTGCAGACCTTTGTCTTCTCTTTGCATTCCTCGCCCTCCTGGCATTTTTTAGTGTTTAACTGAAATGTTCCGCATCCACCAGCTACTTTTATCCCCC